GCCCGTCACGTCTACACTACCAAAGAAGGTGGAAGTCTCTCTCTCCCACCAAGTCAAGTCTCCTAGTCCCGGTCAACCTGGTCCCCATCCCCATCGCCAACCGGCAGACTTTCAGCCTTCAATGGCCTGCTTCACCATCATTTCGGGACCTGCCCTGTTCCCGCCATGATCATCAGCCGCGGGCCGCGGGCCACTCGCGAGGCTTGATTAGCTCCAGCCGTCACTGCGAAGGACCGCATGCTTTTTCGCACACTCTCAATGGGCCAAATGTCAGGGTTGATGCTTGGCTGTCAACATGCTCTGGGACCAACCGAACGTCCATTCCAGATTCAACCTTTCAACTGCCAGATCCATCTAAACTAGACAAGCAGACTCGACTCGGGTTGGCGGGGTCCAAGTCGTGGCCGTGGTCGGGTGACGCAGTCAGCATCCATGATCCAACGACGCCCCTCGCGCCGACGACTCAGTACCCTACACCCGTCACCATCAGAGAATGGGGGATAGAGTCCAAACGAGAAACACGCCCGTTGGATTCGTCCGTCAACCAAGCCAAACAGAACATATTGTGTGTCCATGTGTGATATGGAGCCCCACGGCCAGGCGCCCGCCCGGAAAGCAAGAAGCGAGAAACAGACCGAGAGAGCCGTGTTAGCGGCGGCTGCGTCATGGCTGGCCAACGCGATGCCATGAGAGCCACAGGCACGAGTCCAAAGCGCGACGCGGGGTTGCTCAATGGCACGGCGCACCCCTCGCGATGGTGCAAGCGACCATCAGGACGCCAAGTGCAGAGTAGCCTCCGTCGATGGACGCCCAGTGGTGGTATGGGCGATGGCACCTCATGGCAAACGTCGTGATGGCCCTAAAGTGCGCATGGATGGGGGGCCGCAGATGGACAGATGGAGGCGCCCAAGACGGCACTGGAGGGGCTGCTGGTGTGCTGTTGGGTTGGTGTGTGCTTCCGCCTACTCTCAATGGCCCGACATAACCCCCATCGCACATCCTTTGTGCGTTTCGAGTGCCTGCACAACCGCCAACCAACCAACCAACCGCACCAGCAGTCGCCCAGTCGAGCGTACCGTCTCCATTCTCCATCACAATTCAGGCGCGAGGCCTCTGTTGGGTTTGGCTCGAGGGGATTGGTGATGGCGCATCGCATTGGATCCGGATCACACGCCGATATGCATCAACATTATTCGAGCACGCTCACATGTTCGCCGCTTCCAAGGAATTAATTGTGCCCTGGCATTAGACTGGAGCCAACTGGGCAGCACTCGACCACTGGACCGCCGGCTTGTGGCCCCTCGCATGCCTCTGGCTTCCCACTCGAGGAATTCACAAGGGCACGCACATTCGTACATAACGGTTCGGAGAATGCCATTGGAAGAAAAAGGCAGCGCGAGGTAACGGCGCATAAACGGGTAGGTGGGTGTGCGGCCTCCGCCTGGACCATTTTCACAATTTATCCAACACTCGGACGAATTAACCATCGACTGCTGCGGCTTTTTATTCTTAGTACAGAAATCCGGGTCTTAACAGCAAACTCTTGATTGATTATTGTGCCTGACGACATCGGATGGACGAGCCACACGGCCTCTCCAGAGCTGAGGCTGCCCAAGCCCACAGTTTCCTCGTCTTGATGACATCTGACAAGCTTCGTCGTCGTTCGTCTCTGCTGGGGATCGGACGTTGCGATGATGCGCGCTGCGGCTCTGGCAACATGAATCCGACCCGCCGGCCACCCTGGCCGTCATTGTCAATGCTGCTCGGGCAGTCCAGCATCTGCCGCGATGGGCTGCTCCGCGTTTCGACCTCCGGGAGGCAGCTTTTTTGGGGTTGAGGAGGGAGGGTTTTGTTGCTCGCCTGTCTGGAGCATCAAACACGCACAGCTCAGCTCAGCTCCAACTCAGCCGCTCCGAAGCATGAAGATGCGTTACGAATGCACCCACGCAGTCCACGACCTCGAAACCTGGCTGGGGGGCCACAGAGCCACCGTGACCACGGAGACGAGCGGCAGATGGCGGCAAGCTGGCGACGAGAACAAGGCACATCCTTCTCGTTGCCGCTGATACTGCGCGTTGCTATCACCATTTGCCGCTGCTGCGACTACGAATTACAGCTAGCTGCCACCTTACCTAGACTCGAGTAAGATCAGCACCCAGCAGAACCAGCGGCGCCAGCGCCATCCAGGCACCTCCTTCGTTGGTTGGGTGCCTTGCATCCGCGCCTCCGTCCTTAGGTAGTCGTCTCGCTGTTGGTGTGCCGGCCACAGCAAGCGATACGACTGGTGTGCAGCATGAGCGTGTCTGCATGTGTGACGGTTCGATAAAGAACGTTACCAGCGAATGGCCGTGCCTGAGCCGGCGGTCGGACACGCGCCAGTCTGCACCGAACGGCGAGTACGAGCCCAAGAAGCCATTTGTGCAAGTTGTGTGGACGTCGGCTGCTCCATCGACGCGCACTAATCCTCCTGTGCCTTGATTTGCCCGTCCTATCAACGAGCACACAGCCCCCGGGTTTATGCAGCACGCTCTCTCTGAGTTACCTCGATGCACTCAATGATCAGCAATGACTGTCGGGCCTGTCTCATCTTGTATGGCACATCGTATGGAAACTTTGGTGGTGGCCCGTGAATAACTTTCCACATCTGTGCCGGTTCCTGTCCATCCTCATCCTCACAGGCAGAGAGTTGAGATTGTACCCGAGCCGAACCGGTACTTGAGGCTTGTGCCTGCCTATCTACCGTTTTTATTCGCAATGCGATAGTTGTGTATAGCGCTGCTGCTTCTGTCTTCATGCTCAGGGCCTGGAGCAAGTACACAGCGCCCGCTGACGGCCGCCGTCAACGCCATTTGCTTGAGTCGGCTTCGTTGCTGTAGCTGTCTACCAGCAACAGGCCGTCAGTCAGGGCATCGTCTTTACAGCTGCGGAGGAGATGGATGGAGCTGGCCGAGGGACGGAATCCGCGATACGGGACTAGGGATCGTGCTGCAGAAATGATGGCTTTTCATCTAAAACGCACTGGCCTACCGGTGTCAAAAGCGGCGCGCTCCTGCAAGGTGTCGTAGCCGTCTTGCTCGGCCTCTAGTCAGTTAGATGGACAGCAGTCTCTATCCCGCACAAGACGGTACGGGAATCCTTCCAGACCGGGTCATTGGCGGCGGCGGCGTGGAAGGGCCTCCAGCCCGGGGGGCCAGCAGCATGGAAAAGTTGATGAGCAGCCAGCAAGAGGGACGTGTGGTGATTGATGGTGGACGACGACGTCAGGCACAGAGTGCAGACGGATCAATAGTACCTTGGCATGCACAGGGACCAGCAAGCTGTCAGGTACCCTTCAGACTGCGGTACTTCCGGGAGACTCTGCTGCTGGGAGTTGCCCAAAAGTTGCCCGTCCAGAATTAGAATCGTCCTGGTGGCTGCGCCATCCTCCTCGTCCCAGCACACCCACACAGCTCTCACACACTCACATTGCGCTCTACTATGTGCAAGATGTAGGTACCTTCGTACGCGCACGCACCACTTACTACATACCTCATATCTTACCAGCCGGTAGTGCCACAGATCCAGAGCCCACCCGTCTGATGTTTCCGCTTGCTCTCTCTGTCTGGGCCAGACAAGCAAGAGACTGATGAACCTGAACCTGAACCTGAACCTGAGAAGAAAAAGATCAGAAAAAAAGAGCGGAGACCGATACAGAGAGAGAGAGACTTGGAGAAAGATGTGTGCTGCGCGCTGAAGGGTCCACCCTTTGCGCCGTCTCTTCTGCTGGTGTTTTCCTGTTCCTGGCCCGCCGCCGCTACTGTCCATCCATCCATCACCAGCGTCACCATCGTCCCGTCCACTCAACTCACTAACCAGCCGGCAAGTACAGATAGTACCTGGAGAATGTGGCAGTCAACAGTCACCAGTCCAGTCCAGTCGAGCCGGTGGTGAGGTGTGTGTGGGTGGCACATCGCCCCCTTACCCCTGTTCTCCCCTCCATGCCCACCCGCTAGGTACGGAAGCCACATCCAGAGACCGGGAGGGGTACGTATCGCGACGAGGGCCTCAGTACGTACCTGAGTATCTCAATCCACCCTAGTCAGCTGTCTACGTACCCTGTATCCACAGATACGTACCCCTCCTGGTCCAACTTGTGGGTGAGACATGCCTGCGTGGAGGAGAGGGGAGACGACGAGGGACGTGGACGAGACGAGGGTCCGTCGACAGTGGGCACAAGGATATGGACATGGTACGCTAGGGTCTGGTCTGGTCTGGTCTGCCTCTCGGGTCTGGTAACTCGGTGTCCCTACCATCAGCCTATCGACGACTTTTATCTTGGGCCAGTCGGTTGATCTTGGACTCTTTTCTACTTATCCCCCTTCACCACCCACGCTCATTTCCTCTTGCTATTCCATGATCGACACTCCCGTCGTCTACGGTACGCTGTGAACTTTTCTTCTTATGACCTCTCGGTTCTTCCTTCTTTTGTGACTCGATATTTGGGAAACACTTCGACCTGCTCGAACCATCCCGTCCTTCCTTTAAGACAAACCAGTATCCAACAACCGTCCTCGAGCCCGTAATACCTCCTCAAGCCAGTCACTCTATCACGTCTCTCAAACGCCAACCCGGTCACTTCGAGACGACCAGATAGACACATACTCAGGACGAGTTCCATGTACATCTAAGACAACCACCATCACTCATCGAGTCAACACAACCCCCAGACCGGTCATTGTTCATCAAAGACCCGTCGTCCTATCCTTCAGATACAGGAAAAACCGAACCACCATCCGTCATTAGGCCAACTGCCCCCAACGATACAGTTCGCAAGAACTCGATTGTACAACAACCAACGCGACAACAACATCAACCCAATACGATTAATCAATAAAGACGGATCGAATCCCGCCGACTAACATCACAGCCCAACACACGACAACCCTGTCTGGTGCGTTTCTGGAGAAGCAACTTCGACCTTGGTAGAGCGGGGACTGATTAGAGCGATTAGACGCATCACAATGGACGCCCACATGATGACGGCCCAGGCTTTGGGACAAGCTCCCTTCCTCTACTACAGACCCGACCAGCAGAAGCCCGATGCTTCAAGGCACCGCGGTCACTTCTCGCAGCAGCCCAACCTCCACCAGCAGATGGCCATGTACCCCATGGTTCCGACTCTTCCCTCAACTCCCATCTACTCCAGACCGACCTCTTCCTGCTCACAGCCCATGGGCCCCACGCTGTACAGCAACGGCCCTGCGACCATGACTCCCGTCGCCTCTCCCCAGCCCATGAGCAACAAGCCGGCAATCATGCTGGAGACTGAGATTTGCGAGACGGAACACATCTACTACCCCTCCACGCCGCCTCTGTCCACCTCAGGCAGCGCCATCAGCAGCCCCAACAACACCTGCGAGCTCCTTCAAACCCCGATGAACCCCATGTTCTCCGGCCTCGATGGCCTCGACAGCCTCGAGAGCTTCAAGGAGACCCTGGAGGTGCCCGAGAACCTCGCGGTTGACTGGTCCAGCTGCGGATCCCCCCCGATGACGCCTGGTAAGTAATACTCCAGCCTGGTTGTGAGTGGGCGGTGTTTGCCTCGCTGTGGTGCTGCAATCAATTTTCAGCCATCATCTCTCTCAACCATGGCGCTCCGGTCCCAGCGGCCTCGGTGGGAGAGGCGGCCAAGCTGCCCGTGGTTGGAGCAGTTGCAGCGGGGCACCCACCTTCCAACTCAAAAAAGGTGACCGTTATTTTTTGGGGGGAGTGGAGGCTAACCTCATTCGGCAGTGTACCTGCAAAACCAGGTCCCTTCGCTTAGCACCAACACTAGCGACCTCCTTTCCACAGCATCTTGCCCTTCGCTCTCTCCCTCACCTTCACCGTATGCCAGGTCCGTCGCGTCTGAACAGGACCTTGACTTCTGCGACCCCCGCAACCTGACTGTCGCTGTTGCGCCCAACACCTCCAACCCGACCTTGGCCCCCGAGTACGCAGCCTTCACTGTCAGTGACGACTTCAGGGGGGACGTTCCTGCCAAGACCCCTACCTCAGCTCCTTCCAACTTTGACTTCAACCCTGCCATTCCTCACGGCCTTCCCGCCTTCGAGGACCTGTCTGATCTGGAGTCCGAGGACGACTTTGTCAACGGCCTGGTCAACCTTGGTGACGCTACCTCAACCACTCGCCCTCGCGCCTGCACCGGCTCAAGTGTCGTCTCCCTCGGTCACGCCAGCTTCATCGGCGCTGAGGAGGACTTCACCTTCGACGGCCTTGAGGCTTCTGCTGCTTGCTTCCCCAGCCCTTCTGCTTCCTGCTCCGACGAGGACTGCCACCAGGAAAAGCGCCGCAGGGTCTCCATCAAGGAGTCCACTCCCGTCATGACTTCCGCCGCCGGTTCTTCCCAGGCCGCCAGCAGTGAGAAGCAGCAGAGCAACACCCCTGCCTCTGACGCCAACAGCTCTTCCGACTCTGAGACCCCCTCTGCTCCCCTCCCCGCCCCGGTCAACCGCCGCGGTCGCAAGCAGTCTCTCACCGAGGATCCCTCAAAGACCTTCGTCTGCGAGCTCTGCAACCGTCGCTTCCGTCGCCAGGAGCACCTCAAGCGCCACTACCGCTCGCTCCACACCCAGGAGAAGCCCTTTGAGTGCAACGAGTGCGGCAAGAAGTTTTCTCGCAGCGACAACCTGTCCCAGCACGCCCGCACCCACGGCAGTGGCGCCATTGTCATGGAGCTCGACGAGTCCGGTGTCCACTCATTCGACCACGGCATGATGGGCCACCCAGAGGACTACCAGCACCTCGGCAAGGTCCTGTTCCAGGTTGCTGCCGAGATTCCCGGCAGTGCCAGCGAATTGTCATCTGAAGAGGACAACGGCAAGAAGAAGAGGAAGCGCTCCGACTGAGTCTTCTCAGTCCGAGGTTGATTTTTTGCATTCAAGCGCGTTTTCACGATCGACGGCGACCAATAATCGCTTCGATTACGCCCGATACGACTATGATGACAACTTCTTCTTTCCAGACCTACCCCGCTAGCGTTTACGCGGATCGGTCACTAGGGTCAAACGGGGGACCTTCCCACGCCAAGGGGGGCCTATCATGAACCACCAGCAGATAGACCACCGACGGGGGAAGTACCAAATGCAAAGCAGCGCAAGCGAGGGTTCGGGCATTTTGTCAACACTTTGCCTTCTGTATATCAATATTTCCGACGCCCGAAACCTGCTGAGCCTCGCCCGAGGTCTCGGGACGGATCAAGCGTCGAAGGGATGTGTTGTTTCAAAAGGCTGCATGATGATCACCAAAAAGTTCAAGAACGCAAGGGCAGATTTCGGAATCCAGGACAAACGGCGTGTACGGCGGATACTTTTGTTTCACAAACAGACACAGCAAAGCAGCATGATTGTTTTTCAGTTTTGACTTTTTTGAGAGAGATATGCTACGGCAAAAGGCAAGGAAAGGGAGGAGGAAGGAAAGGCAGCAAGAAGAAGCCAGTGTGGTTGAGAGAGACACGACCAAGAATCATCCTTTTTTGGCAGCGGCCCAAGCGTACTTTTCTTTACGCTCGTTGTAATCTCTCCAGCATGTTCGGAGGCTGGGTCAGCCGTCCATCGCTTTGGAACAAGGGAACTTTCTTCTGGTGAGCGGCGCCGAAGCTCGCGGTGCCTCCGGGGCCGTTTCGGGCCGTCGTCGCCTTCATGTGTTTACTTTTTCACTACTACAACATTCAAGGTTCGAGTTTGCTCTCGTTCTTCGGTTTCTTCTTTTCAAGCTTCTTTTCTTGTTTGGTCACGGATCAAGGAGGGTGTGAGTGCAGGTCACGAAATCATCGGAAAGTTCGCGCTCGCCATGGGAAGCAGACACAAACAGGATGGGAAGGCCGGATCCTGTTTCGCAGGATCAGGTACACCCGCTTGTAAACATGTACACAAACACATTTTTTTAACAAAAAAAGACACTTTTTCGCGCTGCCAGAAATACAAACTCCACACTGAAAATCTCGAATCGTGACTGCCTGACTGCCTCCATCCCTCCAGATGACTGGGTGAGATCCCAAATCCAGACTGGCACATGTTTCTCGCTGCTTGCCTGCCCTTCCATGACTCGGTGAACAATGTTCTAGCTCATCGATCGATGAGCCTGGACTTGAGGCACATTCAGGCATGGGTTGTGTGTTGTGAAAGTGCCCGAGTGAGACAGCGCTACCGAGAGACGCAGATTTCGTCATGGGGGCAGGAGGGTGTGGTGTGTGGTTTTTTCGTATCGGATGTTTTGAAGCATAACGTTTCTTATTCGTCTTGCTTCTTCCGATTGATTCACCATTGGGGGCGGCAGCGGCGCGCGCGCGCGCGTTGGCTGAAAGAGCGAGGCTTAGCTGACATGCACACATTTTGTCTGGTGCCCTTTTTTTTTTTTTTTTTTTTTTTTTTTGCAACGGCGCCCGGCATTCAAGGTGACGTTTATCTTGGGGGCATGTCTTTCTTCCTCACAATGCCACTGTGGGAAGGCTAGCCAAGTCATCTGCGATCCGATGGCTGGCTGGGCCTTGTCTCTTGTCCGTGTCTCTGTTTTTCCCTGCCCTCAACGAACGATTGGGACATGCACCAAAAGCGAGGCAATGGAGTGGGCGCACCCCTCTCGTTCCGCGGCTTCTCCCTCTCGGGCGGCGCCCCTCCCATAACCCATGGGACCGCGTTCGCGGACTGAGGTCCGGCTGTAACGGTAATCCTGCGATTCTCTGCCTCTGCCGGACAGGGACCCAGGACAGAGAGACCACTTTTCAGTAAACGAGGCAAGGCCACATGTATGCGCTGTGTCTTGACAAGGTGGAAGAAAAATGCTCTTTCTTTCTCCAGAACATTTCCAACGGTTCGGCATGTCCGTACATCCCCGGCATGGGTCTTTTTGCCCTTTCTTTCTTTTTCTGTTGGCTGACTTTTTTTTTTTTTTTTTTTTTTTCATGTACAAGAGGGACGGGACGCGTGTAGGCGAATTTGAAATCCACAAGCACCAGGGCGAGAGCGAGGCATGATATGATGATGCGCCGTCACTCAAATCATGCAGCGTCAGGCGTCGATCGGATCGAGGAGAAAATTAGAAACGCAGCCTCTTATTTTTAGGGAAATCTCCTACTGCAATGCAGTGTAAGAACAAATGCGACGATGACTGGAAAGTATGTCTGGCATGTCAGCAAGATAAAAAGAATGTGAGAGACCACCAAACACGTGTGCTTTTTTTTTTTTTTTTTTTTTTTTTTCCCTACCTCCGTAATACGAGATGTTACGGTAATAACGAGGTGGGGGATTGGCTGGTCAAGTCAGGCAAGGCGAATCAAAGCACAGCCTGTATGATACCATGCCTTTGCAGCAGCAGAGATTTTCAGATGCGGCGCATGCCCGCGAGTTCATTCGTCAACGTTCACTTGAGCCAATATTAACAGCAGTTTTAAGAAGGTGGTGGTGTTGCTTTGGGGGCGATGCGGGATGCAATAAACAGCATACCTACTAGGTAGCTGGCCAGCCATTCACTTTCCACAGACTTACAGCATGTACTTCTTCAAGACGGTGTTACTTTGACCACATATCCAGGTTGCTGACACCGAGGTCCGATACGGTTTGCCTCAATGCTACGTACGGCCCGTGTTGGATGGCAAGGTCTCGTTCCGCCTGGGGTAGACTATTGGATTGCACAGGCCGACTGACGGCAAGAAGTGACACCCAGACCGCGAGTCCTCGCAAATGAGCCGATTAATTAAAAAAGATACAAGTGAGGAAATCTACGCCATGTGAGTGTGAGTGGTTCACCGCTCATCCTCTCGATCATGGCCCAAGCTTTTTGGGGGTTTATCTCATGTCAAGCGTCAGTTATCTCTGTGCGTGCAGCAGTAGTAAATGAGATGAAGAAGAGATGAGATGAGTGTGTGTTGGAGTATCCGCACGCAATGTGCACGCACGGCACGAGCACGAGCACGAGCACACACCACATACGCAGGTACAGATACAGCATGTTCGACAACCTTGACGTCTCGTGGGCCGTGGTCGCCACGGGCCAGACGGAGAGAGGCCGTTGGGGCCGGTTGACCGCGCTTCTTTGCAGTGAAGCCAGGCCAGGCCACGAGGTTGCGAAGGTTCGGCGCGGTGAAGAAGATGGAGGTCGCAATGGTCAGTGGTGTCTCGGACCTTTGACAAGATGGGGGGCCAGCACGGTTCACTGCGCTGGGGCCGGATGGACATTGATCTGGATCCCGAATGGCGATAGACATGCCCAACAAGATTTGGGTTGTGTGAGTATCCGTAAGGTAGTGTAAGGTATCCGTCGTGCGGTCGGTTCGGTTCTTCCCTTGACAGCGACGACGATGATGCTCGCCTACTGCGTAGAGCGGTCTGCCTGAGGATGAAGATGAAGATGAAGCACCACTCAGAAATGTTTGACACCCGTGCTCACCATTTCGGATCTCCAGTTCCAGGTTCTTGTTCAAGACTCGGAGACTGGAGTTGACCGGGCCAGGTTGGACGTCCCTACACCGCAAAGTCAACAAACAACAAAAACAGCAAGACAGGCGAGTCTGTCGACGGTGTCTGGCACAATCAGCCCATGAAGCATGAAGCGAACTCCAGCAGGAGCTCCAGCGCAATTTTGGCGCGGCCCGCTCAGACGAAGTCTCCAAAGAGTCCCGTCGTCCCAGGCGGTAGCGGTGCGGCCCCGAAGGCCCTCCCCCCCGCTAATCTACAGGCCCGTCGCCCGCCCTCTTAGGCTCAGAAGCTTCAGTACCTACCTTACCTCCAGGGTCCCGAGGTCACCTAAGGCACCTCAGGTCAGGTACCTGCTGGACGGTGGACACTGAGGTGCGTATCCGTACTGGGATCCCTAATAATGCCGTGGAGTCTTTCCCGGGTTCATGGGGAGGGGAGGGGTCCCGCTGGGTCTTTTTCTCCAGCGGGCAGGCCATTCTCAGTTCTGCTCGGCACGTTGTAGCAAATGGGATCCCGCGATGGTCCCCCGGTTCCAGGTTCCAGAGCGAGACGGGCCTGCGAGGCTACGACGTCGCTACGAAGACACACTGCACTAGCCCAGGGCCAATTTCGACCTTGGACGGATGGGCATGAAGTCAAGCATGGAAGCAAGCCATCATCATACCCATGAGACCAACCCATGAGGCCAGGACCCTCTTCGCCATCTCCAGTCTCCCAGGGCCTCGTCGTCGTCGTCTTCTTCCTCCTCTTGTTCAGCGGCGCCTTCAGGGACCCTAGACACCGAGGGGTCGCCGTCCCACCAGCTAGACACAAATCAAAAGGCACTGGACCAGTCGGAATCTCGATGAGGGCCCAAGGCTAGCCTTTCGAAACTTCCACCGTCTCCATACCTTCCATTGCATCTCCAATTGCCGTTCCTGCAGCTGACCTTGCAATTCCAATAGAACATTTTGCGCGTCTTCGACATACCCTGCAATAGAAGCTCACGAAGGCGAGGTGGGAAATGGGCCCAGCCAGCCTTTCCCACCGCGAACAACATGCAAAGTACCGATTGAACGGCGGTACAATTGAATACGCTGAGGTGCCTATTCGTTAGGGACCCAGTTGTGTAAATTGTCCGAGCGGAGCGGCGCGCTCGCTCCAGTCATGATTTCAATTTTTCCCCCCCTCTGTTCGCCCTCCTCTCGCTTCTGTTCGGCGAGCCGCGACGACCTCCAGCAGAACCGGGTTTCTTACTCACTCCGTTCCCTCGTACCACCGTTTCGCGCTCAACTCACTAGGTAATCAACCATTGACTACCCCCGGCCTCATCCATCCACGGCTCTCAAGACCCCGACGGACGGAGCTCCGAGTCATTCAAGGGTCCCTTGGACGGCAGCTCCTGGACCACGAACCAGTCTGTTCCCCATCCCGCTGCTCTTCCGTCGCGACCCGCCATCAGATTGCAACCGCAGTCCATGCTGACCGTTCCGTTGCAGCCTTTCACAAAGTCTCACGGACCCAGGGCACGCATAATCTCTCTCGAGGAGGGAAAGGCTTTGCATAGTGCTGTAGATACGAGCGTCAAGGCGTCAGCATTTGTGCGCGGTCAGACTTGCCAAAGTCCGAGAGCACTGTCCGACCACCTCGGGCTGCCGCCATGTCATCTGAACAACTGAATGTCATCGCCCTGGTCTCGGGTGGCAAGGACAGCTTCTTCTCTGCCCTGCACTGCCAGAGGAACGGCCATCGGCTCGTGGCTCTTGCTAACCTGTTCCCCGCCGCCCCCGTCAGCGCCGGTTCCGACGCCGCCGCGCGCTCGGCCCAGGGTGATACCCTCATCTTCAAGCCTCGTGGTGATGATGATGGTGATGGTCACGTAGAGGATGCCGCCGGGCAACACCAGCCGGAGGAGCACCAGCAAGAGGATGCTCGGGAAGGAGCTGCCGGCCAAGACGCCGACCTCAACAGTTTCATGTACCAGACCGTCGGACACCAGGTCATCCCCCTTTACGCCGACGCCACGGGACTGCCACTCTACCGCCAGCCCATCCGTGGCGGCGCCAAGTACGAGGGCAGAGACTATGATTCATCCCATGCCGCAGGTGGCGATGCCGTGACGGCCGTCGACTCGGATGAGACGGAGAGCATGGTGCCCCTCATCCGCACGATCATGGCAGCTCACCCGGAAGCCAACGCCCTCTGCGCGGGCGCCATCCTATCGACGTACCAGAGGACTCGCGTGGAGTCCGTCGCCCTGCGCCTGGGCCTCACGCCGCTGGCATATCTCTGGAAGTATCCGGCCCTCCCGTCTCCGCTGCCCGGTACCGTCGAGGACGCCCAACTGCTGCACGACATGGCGGCCGCCGGCCTCGACGCGAGAATCATCAAGGTCGCGAGCGCGGGGCTTGATGAGGAGTTCCTCTGGGAGAGGGTGAGTTGCCTCGCGGGCGCGGCGCGAATCAAGCGCGCGCTGCGCAAGTTTGGCGCCGCCGAGGGCTCCGTGCTGGGAGAGGGCGGCGAGTTCGAAACGATTGTGCTCGACGGGCCCCCGGGCTTGTTCCGCAAGGCCATCGAGGTGCCCGAGGCCGCCAGGAGGGTCGTCAAGGAGGGTGGCGGAACGTCTTGGTTGAGCTTCTCGGGGGCGAGTGTCCGTGAGAAGGCTGCTCCTGAGATGACGGGAGAAAGCTGCTCCCCGGTCCGGGTGCCTGATGTTCTGGACGCCAAGTTTCAGGCTCTGCTGGAGTCCCTACCTCGAGATTCACCGCCTGTGGTGCCGCTGTCTGAGAGCGAATTCGAGGGCAGCAACGGCCAAGTTTCAGCGTCTATTGCACCTACGACTGATATCCACTGGACCGTCGTACCGCAGGAGCCCCGGGGCACGAGGTTCACAGTCGAGGAAGAAACGGAGGACATTGTTCGACAGGTTCGGGGCCTCCTAGATGGACATACTCCGCCGCTGCCTACCACCGCCATTACGCATACCGTCATCGTTCTAAGGCAGATGTCGGATTTTCCTGCCATAAACAAGATTTATGGCAGCCTGTTCCAGCACCCGAATCCCCCGTCCCGCGTCACAATCTCTTGTGGAAGCCTCCCCAAAGGCCATTCCATCAATATTCATTTCACTGCCAAGCCTGATTTGGAGCAGCGGGATCGGAACGGCCTTCACGTTCAAGGCAGGTCATACTGGGCGCCAGCGAATATCGGCCCCTACAGCCAGGCTATCGGTGTGCCCCTGAGCAAGGTCGAGACGGCGGCGAGCGGCGTAAGGCAAGTGACTATCGCAGGCCAGATCCCGCTCGTGCCAGCCAGCATGATTCTCCCCACGGAGACAACAGGCAACCTGGAGATGCAGATTGTGCTCTCTCTGCAACATCTCTGGCGCATAGCCACTGAGATGAAGGTGCAGCTGTGGACGAGTGCGGTAGCATACTTCCCCAATACCCCCAAAGAGGCAGACGCGCGGCGTCAGGCACATCTGGCTGCCGCAGCTTGGTCGGGAGCGCACGCTCCCGGCGGCGACGAGGACGAGGATGATGAGGGCGGCCCAGATCTTTGGGACCGCAAGTACAACCCCCAATACATGTCGCTTGGAGGCGAGGATGCTGCCAAAGAGCAGAAACTTCCCGACTGGTCCGTCGTCAAGAACGAGACGGACGATGAAGACGAAGCAGCGAAGCCGGTGCCCCCGTTTTTCGCGGTCGAAGTCGAGGAGCTGCCTCGCGCGGCTGGTGTAGAGTGGCACGCGCATCTCGGCCTATCACGCCTCCCTTCCTCGTCGGTGGAATACCAGACCTTTAACGTCAAGGCGTCACAGCGCGTTCCTTTCTATCACCGTATCTGTCATGTGGTAGTCGCCGGTACGCTCGTTCACACCACCATCTCCTGGCTTCCTATCAAGGATTCCTGGACGAAAACTCCGATGCATCCTGCGGATGTGGATGAGTGGATGAGGCGGGCTTATCTGGAGGCTATCGGTAGCGACGAATCTGCTTCGAGATCCGGCCACATGTATCTGATGTACGTCAACATGGGCAAGACAGCCTTTCCTCCCATGCGCGCAGGTTATGGGCCGAAGGGCATGGAAGCTGCATATGTATTCGCGCGGTCGATCCGGAGTGGGGATGGAGATGAAGTCAATGCTGTTGGGCTTTTCAAGTAAGCCCACACTCAATGAGAATGAATGATAAAGGACTAGTGTCTGTGAGTGACCACTCTCTCGTGGCAATCGGGGATAAGAGCAGTTCTCTTCAGCCCTGTTGGTCTGATTGACCGGCTTGAGTATGTGGCATATGTTACGGCCAAAGGAGCGTCCGCTCCGGAAGTCGGTGACTGTGTCCCTTTACATGCTGACATGCTCCTCCACCCATGACTACCGCCAATGCCATGACTACTTATTCGAGGCTTTCTGGCAAGGCGTTGCACGGTAAATACTGCCTGTTGGAACATACTTCACGACCCCCAGTTGGAGATGAACTGCCCGAGGGCAAACAACTATCAACGACAATACATCTTCGATGAATCATGGAGCGTGCGGGCAAGTTCCACAATTGGCATTCGCCGCTTAGATCCTCCCTCGAGCTGCCGTTCGCTCATGGCATTGCCTTCCGGCTGTCATAGGTTCTGTGGTTGGCTTTGACTTTACCGGAGAACGTGGACTTCCCGGAAGATGTAGACCGACTTAGCCAGACGCTTCGTTGCCAAGCCCCTCGATTCTTGGACGAGTCTTTACTTGCCCTTCTCCAGAATAGTGCCTCCTACCCATCTTCGAAGATTGGCCAAAATCAAGTTGCAAGACGCTGCGTGCAGGCAGTCTAAGGCCTCAAAGTTTCGACGGAACGAGACGCATTTGTTCCGTAGATAACAACAAGGCCTTGCGTCGTCTCATCTCCAAGCCTGTCTGCTCTTCATTGTTCCTTTCCTCGGTCTATTTTTTCCACGGACTTATACCGCCCACAAACTGGGAGTAGAGACTTGCCAGCCAGCAAAAGAAGAGCCCCAACGTAGATACGGGATCAATACGCTCGCGGTTATTTCCATCCAGCTTTTGGATGATCGTAAGAGCAACTAGCTGAATGTGTGTGTATATGCGTGTCCTATGTGGGCATTGCGGACCCCAGATGAAGCATCCTGAAAGTATCTTTACTCTTGAGGCCATAAGTAGGGCATGTTCCTGCTTCAGCTGAGACCGCCAGAACGCTCCATTGAAGTGAGTTAAGACAAGTATGAATATGAGCGGACTACTGCTTAGAGACAAGCTAGTTCGTCATCGAGACTGAATCTTGGTTAGACATGCTACTACCATGTTGCAACTCTCACAGTAATTACCAAGGTGCTGCATAGTACACTACACTGGTCATTTCGCTACAGACTTTGGGCTTACACTACAGAGTCACATAGAAGAGACACTATTATTCTTAGGACCCTTGATAGTGTTGCTGGAGATGATTCAGTTGTGACGCGGGTTTGATGATTCCGATTGGCGGTGGCATTGGTCCCCGTGGTGTGGCGGGGTAGATCACGGAGCCCGCCCCCAGATCTCACTGTTCCAAGGTTGAGATGGTCGGCGACCAACCAGAAGCGCCGGGCCCGTTACAGTGACAACCCAGCCAGAAGATGGTGGGAGGGTCGGACGCTATGTCATGGGGTCCCCCCTTCTTAAAAAGCCCACGTGAATGGAAAGCCCGTCCCATTGTGAGACCACCAAGCTGAGAGAGAACAGCTCTTGCCAGTTTCCCCAAACTTTCCTCTCTGCTAAGATTGCCCGTTCTTGCCGCCAAAGACGCCGGTATAATCCTTTAGGTCTAGTTCCCCCACGTTTCCTCCCGGCTGCCGGCTTCAAGACGCAGCCGCCCGACTCCCGTGCCGCAAGGGAACTTGGACTCCAGCATAGTGCATCAGGAAAACCGCCCTAACGCACCTCCAGCAGCCGCGACCTACTGCCCGTTGCCGATTGCAGAGATCCCACCTCGAGACCCCCCAAAATTTCCAAGAAACCTTAGCTTCTCTTTTGTTTTTATTTTTTATATACAGGCGACTTTTTCCCTTTGGCCTCTAATCACGTCACACGACCCCTGTTCTCGCGTGAGGCACCATCGTCCAGACCATCTTCGATCTGGGTCTGGGACATGCAGAAGTCGCCCTTGTCTCGGTCGTGATGGCGCCCGCCGGCGATGATGCACCACAACCTTCGGCCGCCGCGCCTCCTCTCCAACCACCACCTCCTCTTTCATCTGATCCCCAGCAAGACCAGGTGCAGGTGCAATCCCCGTCATCCACTACACCGCCGCCACCGCGAGGCTTAAGTAGGCGCGTGTCCTACGATGAGCGCTCGCCAACGTCGCCGCGCTCCCTCTCCCGGAGGCAAAGCACCAACGAGCGCATCAATGAAATACTAGAGGTATGTCTCCTCTCGCTTCGCCTCTGCATCTAGCCATCTCGGCCGAAAACCTTCAACTACGGGACCTCTCGTCCACCACCCTGCCGCTGCTTGTCACCGACCATTCCAGCCGCTCAATTCTTTGAAGTCCCCGTTTTCATACAGAACCCTCCCGGACCCTTCAATTCTGTCCCCAGTTTCTTCCCGTTCCCGCCTGGCCCTTCTCCAGCTTCCCACTCCCACTCCCGCCCCCGTCACCCCATCCGTGTGTGCCCTTGCTGACAACGCGCCCACCCCGGCGCCGAACAGAACGCAAGAGGCCGCGCAGAAGCAATGGGCGGCGCACTCTCCGCCTCCAGGTCCGCCCCCGCCAGCCCTCCGCGCCATCGCTCCCGGGATGACGGCACCCACGATGAGACCGTCGGCATCATCTCCCGCGGCCCGGACCGCAACTACCAGAGCATGAATGCCGCGCCCCCGGCGCCAATAGCCACAGCTACGGCGCCCGAGCTGCGGCCCCGCAAGTCCATTCGCACCACACACAACCACCTACCCTCGCAGACGGAAGAGGACGAGGAGGACTACGATGCTGTGGTCGCGCGAGAGGAACGGGCGAGGGCGGCGCAGCTGAAGGAACCATGGTACACCATCTTCCTGTCCAGCTTCCAGAGCATTGAGCTCGAGAACAAGGGAAGCGTGGCCCGAGACCATTTGGCGTTAGGTACGTGCTTCTTCTTTCCAAGCTTGCAGCAAACGCGATAGCTTATCAGAGTCCTGCAGAGCGAACCTTTCTCGCCTGGCTCCGTACCTCCCTCGCGTTCGCCTCCATTGGCATTGCTGTCACGCAACTCTTCCGCCTCAACTCATCCATTTCCAACCCTGACTCCAGCAGCCACACCCTGCGCCAGCTCGGCAAGCCGCTAGGCGCGACCTTCCTCGGCATCAGCATTCTGATCCTCTTCCTCGGATACCAGCGCTACTTTCGCGCCCAGCAATGGGTCATGAAGGGCAAGTTCCCCGCGAGCCGAGGCACCATTATCATCGTGTCCATGGTGGCATTCGCCCTCATGGCGGTGAGCTTGGTGGTTGTCATAGTAGTCGGCCCCACCGGCAACGAAAAGTAAACGTCGACGAACCTTCAGTTGGTGCTATTTCGATATCATGTTTGCATGCACATACTTCATCGGGAGGGGGGCTGGCTTGCATTGTACCAGGATCTGGTATCAGGCGTTTGGACTTGCATCTATCATCATTATCTGTACCATATACGTAGGAACGAGCTTCTAATGAACACCAAATCTGTGCATAAACGCAAAAAAAAGCATAAAGAGCATATACCAAGAGCAGCTGTCACTTCCTCCAACTTGAACCACTTTCCCACTGTAGCCTATCAGATGACGTCAAAACAAACCTGGACCTCACATGTGGGCCTACAGCTCACAACCTTTCAACTACATCCCACCTCACTTACACACACACACACACACACACACACACACACACACACACACACACAAAGACGCTTGCTTCAGCGTCAGCTACGTTCTGCGTGCTTCCCCCACTTCTGTAACCCTCACAAGCAAATTTACAGTCAGAGGCGAATAAAGCCACGCAAGCACGCAACCATGGCGCCGAAAGCAGAACCCCTCTCGGTGCAATCCTTCGCAGCAACCCAGCTCTCCCTCCTCTCCGCGGAGCTCGCCGCCGAGATCGCAGAATCCTCCGCCCTCGTCTCCCTGCACTCGCCCACGGCCCTCCAGCGCGCCGGCCTCGCGCTCTCCAACCTCGTCGTCGGCGCGCGCCGGACCGGCCTCGGCGGCCGCACCGTGCTCGAGCTCAACCCGGACCCGGCCGTGTCCTCCTCCGCGGAGGGCAAGCTGCCCGAACACGGCCTCCGCCCGGGCGACATCGTGCTGCTGTCCGAACAGCCCGCCGGCAACGCCAAGAAGAGGGAGGTGAAGGAGCTTGAGAGCAAGGGCGCGAGGGGCGTCGTCACGAGAGTGAGGCATGAGAGCGTCGGCATCGCGGTGGACGAGGGGAAGGGCGAGGAGAGGGAGTTTAACGGGCGCGTCTGGGTCGTCAAGGTCGCCGACGATGTCACTTATCGGAGGTGAGTCTGGCACTCCCGACACACCACCGGGGGGGGGGGGGGGGGGCGGCATTCACATCAGATGTCACTTTGCACGGGGGAGGGGCTGTCCCAGTCGGGGAGTGAAAGCATCAGGCTGACGAGACACAGAATGAACCTTACCATGGAGAAGCTCGAGAAAATGACAGAGGCCGAGAACAGCTCCTTCATGCGCGTGCTCTTCGGCCTCTCGAGCCCGAGTCCCGTGCCTTCAGATCTTGCGTCCGATTCGGACCTTTCCAAGATCCAATGGATCGATCCCTCGCTCAACGACTCGCAAAAGGACGCCATCCGCTTCGCGCTCGCGTCAAGAGAAGTCGCACTCATTCACGGGCCTCCAGGAGTGAGCCTCCTCCGCCCCCCTCACCTGAAGGCACAAACTGACACTGGACAGACTGGCAAAACCCACACACTGATCGAGCTCATCCTCCAGATGCTCAAGCTCGACCTACGCATCCTCGTGTGTGGTCCCTCAAACATCTCCGTCGACAACATCGTCGAGCGCCTGGCACCTCACAAGATCCCCATCCTCCGCCTCGGTCACCCGGCCCGTCTCCTCCCCAGCGTCGTCGCCCACTCCCTCGACGTGCTCACCCAGACCTCCGAAGCCGGCGCCATCGTCAAGGACGTCCGCGCCGAGATGGACGCCAAGCAGGCCTCCATCAAGAAGACGCACAACGGCCGCGAGCGACGCCAAATCTATGGCGAGCTCAAGGAGCTCCGGAAAGAGTTCCGCGAGCGCGAGCGCCGCTGCGTGAGCAACCTCGTGCGCGAGAGCAAGGTCGTCCTTGCGACACTGCACGGAGCGGGCGGCCACCAGCTCCGCGACCAGCAGTTCGACGTCGTCATCATCGACGAGGCCAGCCAGGCGCTCGAAGCGCAGTGCTGGGTGCCCCTGCTGTCCGCGAAGAAGGCGGTCTGCGCGGGCGATCACTTGCAGCTCCCGCCGACGATCAAGTCGCTCAACTCAAAAGTGAAGAAGGTTCCGGCCGAGGGAGCAGGAGAGAAACAAATCAAGGGAATGACGTTGGAAACGACTCTGTTTGATAGGTTGCTCGCCCTGCATGGGTCATCCATCAAGCGGATGCTCACCACACAATACCGCATGCATGAGAAGATCATGAGGTTTCCATCAGACGAGCTATACGATGGAAGATTGATCGCTGCAGAAGCAGTCAAAGAGCGTCTCCTGAAAGACTTGCCTTACGAAGTCCAGGATACCGAAGACACCAACGAGCCACTCATCTTCATCGACACACAGGGAGGCGACTACCCGGAAAAGAGCGAGGACGACGACAAGGATGCCGTCAAGAAGGCCAAATTCAGCCTCCACGGTGAAAGCAAGAGCAACGAAATGGAAGCGGCTTTGGTGCGGCAGCACGCCCAAAGCTTGGTTGATGCTGGCGTGAAGCCCGAGGACATTGCTGTCGTGACCCCGTATAACGCTCAGGTAAGTTCTGGACTGGATTCCCTGGGTCGTTCGAAGTCGTGGACACGAGCTGCAAGGGGGTGAAAGCATGGGACGCAGCCGCAGCATGAAGCTAACATCGGATGAACCGAACAGCTCGCCATTCTCGCGCCCCTGAAGGAGCAGTTCCCGGGCATCGAGCTGGGCAGTGTAGATGGCTTTCAGGGCCGCGAAAAGGAGGCCGTCATTGTCAGCCTTGTACGGAGCAACTCCGAGGGAGAAGTAGGGTTCCTGGGCGAGAAGCGCCGACTGAACGGTAAGCTCAGGAGGTCACCAAGCTCACCGTCTGGGAACATCCCAGCTGGGCTATTAAGGGCGCATGATTGTTAATGCGGTCTAGTGGCGATGACGCGACCCAAACGCTCGCTGACGGTGATCGGTGATTCGGAGACAGTCAAGAGGTGAGTGCGTTTGAGACTTGTTCTCCTTTCTTTTCCATCTGTCTCTCGGTCGGAGGATTTCTGGGTGTTGGCGTGTCGGGCTGCGGGCGAACCGCTGCTGCACAGATGTTATCCTGAGACACTGCTGAGCCGCACCAAACGCCCGAAATCTCGGGCCTGTTTCTTCTTTTCTTTTGCTAACCCGCTGCATCAATACAAACAGAGGTAGCGCATTCCTCAAGAGATGGATGGATTTCCTCGAAGAGAATGCAGATCTGCGTTATCCCGACGTGTCAACCCTCCAGGGGTCTTGAGATGCCATATTTGGGATGGTGGGAGGCCGCGGGTTAATGATGGTGGTGGCTGGTGAGAACGCATGGCCCACCTCCATGCAGGCCGCCTTCAATGTCAACCTTTATGCGACGAAAGAACATCATTCGCGGCAAGAGACCAGACGATCTAGAATACTGACGAACCGGCTTCCTCGGTATCGTGGACCGTCTGGAAGGGCCGTGAACGAGCTGGGATGGCTTCTTATGCGCGGCGACGCCCTGGAACCCCCGTCTCCAACGGCTTCCCAAAAGGGAACAGGCGGCATTGTGTGTGCATTTGGCGTGGCGTATCGTAGAATTTACAGCACACCCGCGGCCAACCAATGCTCGTCCATGACCAATTGAGGATTACGGGGTAGGGAGTGTCCGTTGATGCAAGTTGATAGGCGCCAGGGCCCAGATTTCTTGGGTCGACCGATTGGAAAAAAAGACCAGAGGGAACTGTGGACGGACCGCAGATGTCAGCCGTCACTGATCAGACGAAGAAGCAACCCTTGTCTCTATGTTTCAGGTTACCTTTGTCGTCTGTGCAATCCTTGTCCTGCGTGGCCAGACCCGCCAAATTCTCCTACCGAGGACAGGGGCCTGTGGTGTTGCTCGACTTGAACGCGTTTTTTTGGCTGCTCTCCGTCCAGTTTGTGCGTAGGATTTTGCGGTGTTGTTGGGGCTGTGGAGGGTACATTTCCCAAAACTCTCGAGTATGCGGCGGACTCAGTGTCAGCCGCAGCCATTGAGTTTTCAGCAAGGAGCCAATCTTTCTCACGCCAAGGCGTGAGATGCCATCTTTTGCCTCTTGTTGGGGTCCTGTCGACGTCTTGGATATGATGCAGGATCCGCTGCAGAAGCGAAACAGTGGACAATCATCCCCTCTCCGCGAACCGTTTGTTTGTTGATGTTGTGCACCAAGTTCGTGCGTCTTGAGTGTTTGTTATTGGCAGTTTGTTAGTGGCAGCATGCATCGCAGAAGACCCAACAGTCGCTCCATCATGCACTACAACGTGGTTGAGGCTAGAAGATGTCTCCCGGATCTATGGTTGCCGAATGATCGCGCGTGCCGCGCCCGGACGTGGCCCCTCTTGGTGGCATATCGGGGCTATTTGTCCGCCAGCTGGCTTTCGAAATTGAAGGCTATTGTGACGCAAATCTTACCACGAACGTGGTGTCTAGTCGGGCGGACCGAGACGACTTGTGTGAAGCACAATGATATCGTCCTCCGTTCTACACTAGTACCCGGCTGAACGGTTCGTCCCCGTCATTATGAGACAACTCCATTTCCGGGGCCCTGAACCCTCAATGAGACATATGCCCCGGCAGCCTGAAGAGCACTGACAAACACCTTACGGTGGCAGTCGGGGAACGACAAGGTGTTGCTCGAAGTTGCCGGCGGCGCCGCATCTTATGTTCGATCAATATGGCGTCGCCGAGCCTTCAGGTGATGGGAGATCATAAGTCGGGTGCCTCGCTATATGATGCTCCGCCGGGGACCCCACTCAGCGAGCCGATCAAACTGTGGCCGGACGCGCGACGAGAATTCGTGTTGGGTCGGGGTTGTATTGGGTGCCGCGGGGACAAAGTGTGAGCGTGTGCGTGACTGTCCGCCTGCAGCCACAATTACCGCATCATGTTGTCCGCGATGGCACGGCACGGCGGCTTTTGAGCGGTAAAGTCGTGCCATTCGTGCATACTAGGCCTGGGGTTGGCTGGCTGGCATGCCAATGTAGTCAACCATAGATAGACCGTCCCCTCGTAGGCATTTGGTCTCCAAGAAAAAGCTGTGGCAGGGCATCGTAGTCAAAAAAAAACCGCTCATTGGAGT